GAGAGAGAGAGAGAGAGAGAGAGAGAGAGAGAGAGAGAGAGAGAGAGAGAGAGACTGGGAATGGACACTTCTCAGCAGGAGACTGACAAGAGACAATATACGGAAACAAGGTGATTGTAGGAACAGATTTCTGCACGATGGATGTGTGTGTTAAGGGCTTTCACATATATATGAATGTCATCTCAACAACCCCATAAAGCAATATAGTCCCCAGGAAGGAGTAGCATTGGCCCTGGGAGTTAGTTCCCCAGATTGCAGAGCCCCTCTCTTTCCACACAAATGGGGTACATAAATATAAAACAGAAATTTTCCCCCTGAAGTTTCATGGGCTTACATTGGGAAGAAGGCACATATTATCAGCACCTCTCTCCATATAGTAATTGTACCTGGCCATTGTAGTTAACTTTTTATTTGTGTAAGTCTGGTATCCAGAAATAGATTGTGAGACTCTGCCCTCTATTACTCTGTAACCCATACAATGTTGAGCACCAGTCTTAGGCAGAAAGAATGTTCTATAAACATCTTACCCTGCTAATCTTCTTAGTAACTGACAAAGTGAATACAAACACCAATGCCTGGAATGTGATGGCCTCTTTACAGGCAATGGTTAAGCTGAAGATTTAGGGGAAATCTGGCCTCTGGTTCCTTGAAGTTAATGAGAAGGTATGACTCGGTTGCATAGGCAGGAGAATACTGCCGTAGTGGCTCTATGGCCTTTTTTGTCTGGCTCAGTCAGTGTTACTCATGCCTAATTCTAGGTAGCAGAGCAGAAGAGGTAGGTGAGAAACAGGAAAACATTCTGAGATGAGCTACTTCGATGATTTAAGGTTCTGAAAGCAGTCTAGTGGGAAATGATAAAAGGCACTAAGATTACATCAGAAGGCTGAAAGATGGCTTGTAAGACTCTTGAGTGATGGCAAGCATTGCTGTCTAGAGGGCAGTGGCCAGCTAAAGTTGCAATATAAAAAGCTAGCACAGGAGGGAGGATAGGAAACCAGAAGAGAGGCATGGATGGCATGGACCAGAGTTCTAACTCTGGCTCTCATCACTTCCTCTCCATATGATCATGCACAAATAATTCAGCCTCAGTGTAACCAGCTGAGGGGCAGAGATATAAGATCTTTCCACCCCAGATTGGCCCAGAAAATGGACTCAATGAAAGGCAGTTATTACTAGGAAGAAAAGTAACCAATAGAAGTAAGCACTGAATATTACAATAGGTTACTAAAATAGGTTTGGAGATTTCTTTCCTTAGGGCAAGTCGTTGACTGGAAATAGATGGTTGTAGCCTTTCTGAAAGATGGGAAATATTTTGTTTCACATATGTATTCCCTAAGTCTACAACCTCAACACCTATCAATAAAATAATGAGAAAAAATAACTAGAATCTTCTGTGTTGATCAGAGTAAAGTGAGGATTGCATGTATTACTGGAATTTCACTGGATAGTGGCATAAATTATGGATGTGCCAGGAATAAATATGTAAAATAACATCTATGATGTGCCATGGGCTATAGGAAAAATTTTTGCATATTTGGTCTAATTTAATCCTTACATCAATCTTATAAGGTAAGTATCTTTATTATTTATAGATGAACAAAATGTGGATTAGTAACCTTAATCCTCTGGCCTAAGGCTAAGGATGTGCTAGGGCTGAGATTTATTTTAGGGCTTCTAACTTGGCATTCATTTTCCATTTCATCAGAAGAAAATTAACTAACCTTTTATCCAAAAAAACTAAGAAGTCATTTAAACAATAAGAAGAATAACTGATTTTCTTTCTTTCTTATTCTTTCTTTCCCTAAGGAAAGAAATATTCCATGGTTTGCTTCTACCACTACACCAACTAGAACCATGCTGCATAATGCAAAGAAAATGAACTTGGAGTCAAAGACCTCCTTCTAAGCAATGGGTGACTGTTTACTGCCCTTATTCTCAGTTTCCTTAACTACCAACTAGAAACAAAAGGAAAGCCACGATTTTGAACAAATGGGATACATTTAACAACTCACTCTATAAACTCTGAATAACATTTGAATTGTAGAATTGTAGAGCTGGTATAATCTCGTCCATGGTGAAAAGTTACCATTTTGTGAGTCACAAACATAAATGTAAAGTTTAAAGTAATAAAACTTCTGAAAGAAAACACCAAAGAAAATCTTTTTAACCTTGGGCTGGGCAAAAATTTCTCAGATACAAGACTAAAAGTATGATCTCTGAAAGAAAAATCAATCAAGGGCGGCCACTTCAAAATGACACACTTTTGTTCTCTGAAGGACATTGTTAAAAAGAAGAAAGAGATAAGAAGAAGACTGGGATAAAATATTTACAAGTCACAAATCTTTGTCCAGAATGTACCACAATACAATAATAGAGGGGAATGGCAAAAAAATGGGCAAAATATTTGAATAATATTTCACAAAAAAGATATATGGATGGCAAAAGTACATGAAAAATCTGCATCATTAGTCATTAGGGAAAACACTTCAAGCCTCAGAATATCATTGCATACCTACTAGAATAATTTTTTAAAAACACAAAACTCTGACAATCCCAAACATGCACTTACTATATGATCCAGCAACCTCAGATGAATAACTATATTCATACAAAAATCTATATGAAAATGTTTATAGCCACTCTAGTTATAACTGCCAAAACCTTAAGACAATCCAAATGTTACTCAATAGATCAATGGGTAAACAAACTGTGGTATATCCATACAATGGAAAACTACTCAACGATAAATAGAATTATTTGTACATGCAACAATATGGATAACCCTCAAATGGGTTTCTCTAGTTGGAAGAAATCAGATAAAAAAAAATGGTACATATTACATGATTTCATTTACATGACATTCTAGAAGAGGCAAGACTTAGGAGCAGAAAACAAATACGTGGTTGTCAGATCTTGGGTTTGGGCAGAAACTGACCACAATGGGGCATGGGAGAATTTTACAGGGTATTGGAACTGTTCAACATCTTTGTTATGGTGGTGAGCACATCACTGTATGCATTTTTCAAAATAGAACTGTATAATAAAAAGGGAAAAGTTCATTTATGTGAATAAACACTTCAATACTTCAATAAACCAGGATATAAAATAAGACAGCATCATTTTGGATGCATAGGGTGTGTATGCATACACACACATATGTGTGTTTGTGTGGATAGTACACACACATACACATATAGGCATATATACATAAATATATGTTTTTCCCCAAAGGATAAACGTACAGAAAACTGAGTAAAGTGGTTGTTTCCAGTGAGGGAACCTCAGGGATTGGGAGATGGCAAAGTAGAAGAAAGATTTAATTTTCATAATATATCTTTTTGGAATTTGCATATTTTACTACTATATACACGATATAAATTATTTAAAAATGAATAAAAACATTAGAGATACCCTGCTGGGTTCCCTGTTCCTTTTGGGGAGATTTTTCAGTCACTAAGAGTTTAATCATGGACTTTACGGTCCACCATAGGGGCTGCTGATGAGAGTCCTCTTGCTTTAGGTGGAAAATCTGACTCAAATCTTCTCTATTTACGTCTGGAATCCACACAATGTATTCTAAATGTCTAACTATTCTAATCTCCATCATTTCTCCTGAGAAGCAACTTTCCTTTCCTCCTCATCCTCAGTTACTTGGGTTACATCTTCAGCAGTAACTGATGCTTCGTTCATATACCTGCCTCTCTTTATTCCTGCATATCATCTTCAATACTGCCAATATAAGTTTCCTAAAACAAAAAAATCACATCAATGACTGATGACAAGCATCTGCTAGTCTGTTTGGCTGGAAGAGAACACCTTTTAAGGTTTGACTCCAACCTGTCTCCCCATTTCATCTCTCTATTCATCTCCTGCCACTCTCAAAGCAAAAGAGAGTATTCCACTGTTTCCCAAACATGCATCTATGTTTTATATGTTGTATATACTATGTCTCTACATTTGTGATGGGATTTCCTTTATCATGATTCCTATCACACTTGAAGACTTGGCTTACTATCATCTCCTCTGTGAAATCTCCTACAATCACCCCAAGCATAATTACTGTTTGGTTCCCTCTGCTCCTGCAGTAATGGATTTACAGCAACACTGAGTCATTTATCATAATATATTCTAATTTTTCTGGTTTAGGGTCTGACATTGAACTTTTTGAGTATACAGCCCAATGCTTATACATATCTTTATGCCTGCCAGAGTATCAGCACACCATGTATTTCTTGAATGAAAATATGAATGAGATACAATGTCATATACATGGAAGTTAAGGAAAAAAATAGAAATATATTTTGAAACCACCAGCTGGCATCCCCAATCTCTTACCATCTTGGAATGTGTCATTAATTGCAATGACAGCCTGGAAGGGTTTGGTCAGTTCAGCTCCTTGTGCTGAGCTCAGAAAAACCACAAATGTCTCCAGTCCTTCAATTACCGGATACTGGGTATCATCCAAGATAGTCAAGGTGCAGAACTGGAGGAGAAATCAAAGTAGACTTTACAACAGGCTCAACACTCGACTCTCTGCCTTTGAGACACTAGGGCAGAGGTGGCAACTCATCTTTTTCTGGTGGTCTTAAAGCAAGGTTTGTTTCTTCTTTTAAACCCACAGAATGATAATCTCTTTATCACATTCTTTGGAATTTGTTTCTAGATACTTACATCAAACAGGTGCAATTTCTATCTTAAATCTACACTGTAGGATATTTGATGCTCAACAGGCCACTTTGAGAGGTTTTAGAAGATCCCCTCATAATTTGTTCTCTTGTTTGTATGCTTATGTTTTTATAGAAAGTGAGGGTCATAACATTGCAAGGGGAACTGAGGGTCCTCCAGAGGGCTTGGAAAGTAGATTCCAGACCACACCAACAGCGTCATCCAGACTTATGAGTTTGGGGAGTCTTCAGTGATGCAGACTCACCTGCTCAGTGACACCTGGCCCAAATTCCACCTTCCTAGAGCTGGGGACGTAGTCAACTCCCGGAGTAGCAGAAGCTGGGTCAGAGGGCCGTGTTGCACACCAGACAGATGTGAGAGTAGAAAGGTCAGTACCGTGGCGGATAACTGGAATCTTTACGGTGCCTGATTAACAGAGATTTTAATGGTCAACCTTGAGCCAAAAAAATCAGTGGAGTTTCTAGAACACTGTTCTCTTTCACTGCAACAGTGACAACTTTATCCAACTCAGCTTATCTAAATCAACTTTGGTGGTGGTCCTATGCCCCCTTGGAGGAGGGCCGAGAGGTGACATTGCCCTCTTTTCCCCTGACATCATGATCAAGGGGAGTTCTAGAGGAGGACCACATGGAGGTGGTGCTGGAGAGACAGCTCTCTGGGGAGTGTTCTTCACAATGTACTGGAGAGAAGTGCCCATTGTAAACCATCTCAAGGCTATTTAGGGAGAAGAAACTCAGAGACTGGGTCCTCAGCTAGAAAATAGTCAACAACCAGCGGGGGGGGGGACCTTATGGGGCCCGGAGCTGGATGTTCCTAATTGAATGTTTTAACTGGGTTTATTTTCCTATTTTATCCAAGTGGTGCACACATCATTACTCAAACCATAGGTGCTTATTGCTTATTTCAGGAATGAAGCTCATCTTCTGGCCCACTGTGACATCATATTTTGTAGTAATTTAAAGATGTTTGGTTACTTTCACAACCAAGGTCAGAGAAAGGCTGACATGAAAACCCTATCAATTGCCATGTTTTTATAGTCAATATTCTGTGAGGTGACATGTAGTCATGGCATGTAAGAAGCATCAGCCAAGGCGATCTCAAACTCCTCTTCCTCTTCATACTCACTTCATCAATAAGCATATATGGAAGGGAGATAGTGCAGTCAAAAGAACAAGGTTCTACTCCAGCTCTGCCACTGTATTAGCTGTTTAATCCTTGGTCATTTATGTAACCTCTCTGGGCCTCCATTTGCTCTTCTATCTTCCACAGAAGATCTAGTGAGAATGCATGAAATACCCATGGCATGCTGCCTGACATTCAGTCCATGCTCAAAAATAGTAGTTTCTAATACTCCTCAGAATCCCTTCAAAGAGGTGAATGGCCTTAATGTGGCTCATATCAACTGATACTCAGCATATCCACCATCCCCTCTGTCAGCAGCATGTAGGGGACTTAAAGACCATGGGGAACCCATAAGGAGGAAGGAGCCTGGGCTCTGAAACACCACGTGGGAGAAATTTGCCCACCCATTGCTTTGGGCAGGTACATAAGTGCAAAAGTTCCTTTGTGTGAAACTGAAACTTTGAAGTTAGTTTGGGTGAGGGAACCTCAGAGAGGCTCTCCATTACCTGCATCCTCGCTGACAGTGAAAGCTGTGTTGCCCAGGGAGACCGTGGAGGCATCATTGGGACCACTAATGAGCACCCTGGCTGTTGCCACCCTTCCGATGCGGGCATTGTGAGAAGCATCAGCCAGGGCAATCTCAAACTCCTCTTCCTCTTCATACTCGCTGTCATCAATAAGCATGACGTCACAGGTGGACATGGTGACACCAGGCCCGAATATCACCCGACTCTCAGCAGACATCCCTCTAGACTTAAAATCAGAGCCTGATTCTAGAGCATAGAGACTACTTCCCATAGCAGACTTAGGGACCGTGTAGCAAATTGCAGATACGATGCTGCTTGAATCACCTGCAAGTCAAATGGCAAGAAAACCAACACAATTGAAAAAGCACTTCCCAAATTTTAGACTCTCTGGTCCATTAATGAGCTTGGCTCCCTCTGACACATTCAGACTCTATCAGGAAACCTTCCAGAGTTACAGTTTCTCTTAAGCCTGTAGTATAAACTGCTTGAGGATTTAATATACCCCAGATACTTGTCCAAATAACTCAAAATGGATTTCCTATTCTGTGAATTTTGTGCTCTGTTAATTCACAAGTCTGATTGCCCACCATCTAAGACCACAGCGGGTGAAAAGATAAGAGATATATTTGGTACTTTAAGTAGCAAAGTAATTGTGTCCTGAAGGTAGTGCAGTGAGCACAGTTCACTGCCTTTCTGAATAAACTTCTGCACTTTAATTCCCTCAGAGAAAGAAGCTTGTTTTAAAAAAAGAAAGACAAAGCCAAATAAAACTTGCCTCTCAATGGCTTTACTTATTAGTGCTGCATTATCCCTTGGTGATAGCCTGTTCTGGGCCTGACTTGGTGGCCTAGAGCAATCAATGGGGCTTGCCGGTTTTCCAAGTGGTATTAGCAAGGTTTTGTGCCATCTACAGTATTTGTTACATTAATACCCAGTCAGCAGATTCAATAATGAAATCTGACATCATCATTTACAGTCATGGGGATTCCATTCCATTTGTGATTTAAAGTCTCAATCACAAAGCCATATATCTTTGTTTTGATTTTTTTGACCTCGAGAATTATCTTTTGCTTCTCACACATAGTTTATTTCTCATCTGAGCTCTACATATGATACTCATATAGGGACATTTCTTAAGTACATTTTCTGTCTTGTAAGAACTAAGGTTCTTAACTTCCTTCCTTAACCAAGGTTACTAAATATTTTACAGATTGGGTGACTGATTAAGAATCCTGTGTTCATAAATAATTTGCAAGATTAAATATAACCAATCTTCTAGTCTGATTTAAGAATAAATGGAGCTCTAAGTACTTGAATTAAGAAGAGAGGCCTTCTGATAGAACTCAGTAAGGGTGGAATCGTTATTAGTGCTGTCTGGGGATGCAGTGGGTCAATACATGTAAAATACACACACATGAGTTAATATGACACACAAGCACTTGGCACATAAGAGGCACTCAGGGTTTGCTAGCCATTATTGTAGCTCCTCGTCACCTTTGGCACAACAGACCTTTTCTTTCAATAGGTGCAAATAAAAACCCAGCACTTTCGTTGACCCGGTAGGTCTTCTTATCAAACTCCAACGTGGGTTCGTCCTCAGTGTCACTGATGGTGACCTTCGCCTGGGTGAACTCCCCTAAGAGGGCATATGCTGGCAGGCTGAGCTCCACAGCGAAACTCTCAACACCCTCGAACACGTCATCATCATTGATGACGATGGTGCAGGACTTGGTATCTTCTCGCTCATCAAACTGTACCTGCCACAAAGGAAACAACAGGAGCCTAACCTCAGCATCCCTTGCTGTGGTCCCCAGGAGTATCCTGAGCAAAGAGCTCTCAAGTCCAGTGGGTCGAGAACTGACTTGAACAGCAGGATCTCTAACCCCTCTCCTTGCAGCATACCTGGGGCACTCAGCCACCTGGTCCCATTCTTCTCCTGGACCTTTGGGCTGATTAATTGTAGGAGGCCTGAAGGGCAGAGCTGCCTCCTACCTTTTGGTGACTGAAGAAACCCAGTTAATAATTACTCATATCCTGTTTTCTTAACTCTCTTGGGATAGCAATAGCCATCATTTGATTACTTAGTTCTCCTCTTTTTTTGAGGCAAGTTTAACAATAAAGACCTCTGACCTTGGAGTATGAGGTTCTATGCTTGGCTTCTGATTCTGTTATTTCCAAGCTGGGTAAAGTTATAAGACTTTATGAACATCAGATTCTTCATCAGCTAAATAACAATAATGATTTTCCCATTTTACATATTTATTGGAGGATCAAGAATAATTTAAAGCACTGAACAAATATATTATCATTACTGTGACCATATTACTCAGATAATTAAATTTGACATAGAATCTCATTGCACTAATAATAGAGGATAATTCATAGAAAGTTATTTAAACGAGCCCAACTAATTTCAACTTTATATTTAACTAAATTCTTTGCCATTAAAATGGGCTAAAGCTATAACATGAATAAATTTAGCCTGATATGAAATGGAGAAATTATTTTATATGCATACAATTGTAAACTTATGGGAATTTTTCTGGTTTTACCTTGTTGAAAAAGAAAAAGGGAGAGGAAGAAGGAAAGAAGGAAAGAAAGAAGGGAGGGAGGGAGGAAGGGGAAGGAAAGAGAAGGGAAAGAAAAGGAGGGAAGATAAATCCTTCAAATGAAATCTGACATATGAACTTGCCAAGAACTGAAAAGGCAGGAGCTATACTTTGTGCAAACTACAAGTTTAAAAAATAGTTAAATATTCATAAACATCTAGGGCCATGGATATCTGAAAAACAGAATTTTAGTCAAACAGAGAATTATTAGCATCTATCTATTTGATTAATCAAATTAAGTTTTTTCTAAGCTCCATATTTCAAATCACCCCCAAGAAAATGAAAATGAAACACTCAATAGATCTCTATTTAAGATCTAGAAACCATTCACAGTCCTTTGTCTTTTCTTGGGGGGAAAATAAAAACTATGAGAACATGCTGTCTTAGCCTTTTTCTAAAAGATCCTTTAGCTTATCTGTTCTTTTCTAATTCTTCATTTAAATTGAACATAAGAGGGCTCAGCTTAGTCCAGCTGATTTCTGAGCTCAATTAAAGGTTCCAGTCCACTTTCTCTTACAGAGATTTGTGTCACCATAGAATACTGAAATTACTTTCAAAATACATTGAGTAAGTATTAAATGCCAAGCATAAAAGAGGACAAATACAGGGCCCTTTGCCCTAAAGGAATGGACTATTTTCATTTCTCCTCTTCCTCCTCTTCCTCATCATCTTCTTCTTCTTCCTTCTCTCTCTCTCTTTCTCTCTCTCTCTCTCTCTCGTTCCCAAGGCTTCACTCATGCTAAGCACACACTGTATCCTGAGTTACATCCCCAGTCTTCTCACAGCTCCTTCTTCTCGCTCATTGTCACCTTGGTGCTAAGGACCACAGGCACATAGATGACTTGCAAATTTCTCTCTCTACCTCAGACTCCTTCCCTCAGTCCCTGCCCTTCTATTCATCCATCTACCTGTTGTTTCTAAGGCAACTCGTACTTAACATGTCCAAGGCAAAGTCACAGCACCACACCTGTGAAATTGGCTCCTCTTCTATGTAAGGGGCATCACTATCCATCTTTCCCTTCTGCCCCACTATCTAATCCACTGCTAAATCCTATCAATTCTTACTAATCTTTCCAATCCATTCACTTCTCTCCAACTATCTAACTGAAGCCCAAGCTCCCATCATCTTGGACCTTGATGGATCAGGTAAATTCAGGGATCAGGTCTGCAGCCCACCTACCTGGCCAGCATACTCCACGTAGTCCTGCTGTCCAGGCTGGGAGCTGACCCTGGAGCTGGAGCTGGCTGTGCCTTGTTCAGTGCGGCACAGGACGATGGCATACTGGTTCAGGTTCCCCGTCCTCTGCACAGTGACGCTGACAGACCCTGCCTTCTCACTGACATTGTAGCTAGGAACACACAAAAAGGCAGTCACTGAAAATCAGCCCCGTTGCTGTGAAGAAACCACTTGTTCAGTGCCTGGCTCATCTGGTTATTGGTGTTAGGCAAAGAGGCAGTTTTGTGCCTTCAAGTAGCCCCATGGGAACTAAGGAACCTTTGTTTACTTGGAACACACCCAGTGCCAAATGGACCAGGACACTAAGGATGTAGACCTTTGCCCATTTTGAAAAAGAGCTGAGTCAGATATTAACAAAATGGACAATACATAGGAGCCATGAACTTCAGACTTCAGGACATGGAAAAATTACACTCTTTCCCTCCTGGGGGAGAGTAATCAGAATAGGCCAGTGGGTTTTTAGGGAAGGTGTGCAGAAGGCTAGTAAAGACTTAGCCAAGGTGGAAACTGACTCAACTAGATCAGGGAAATGTATAAGGAAGCCAGGACAATACTAGAGGTGAGAGCATGAGACCCGAGCCTTAGGTGACAAAGGCATTGAGACAAATGAAGTTTTATGTCAATGAGGAGGAGATGGGATGAATTTAGTATACTGCTAGGGATCTGAATTGCTTTTCCAAGTTGGAGGCTAATGAAGGTCATTTTCCATTAACTCATAAGAGTCTAGGTTTGTAAAGGCCACAGAAGAGTAGGGAGTGAGCTGGCCATTGTTTTAAATCACCCAGGATAGCCACTGGATCTTGGTTTGAGTCTTGCTGCTGTGAGGGTTCTAGGCAAAATGCCTCTGCCATTGTCAACTCCAAGACCCTCTCTATTACTCAGTCCATCAAACCTTAGAGGGTTAGACAAAAAGGGATGAGTCCGACTGAATTTATGTAACTTTGAAGGAGACACAACCAAAAGGGAAATAATAGCAAAACATTATATTTTTAACGTTGATTCTGTTTCGTAATTCTCCAAGTGTGTCTAAGAGTAGAAGAGCCTTTGTCTGGGACCAGGAAAGCAAGTTTATACCTGAGTTCCAATTTGAACATGACTTGTCACGAAATTGACTTCTTAGGGTAGTGAGTTTCTGTATATAAGTTTAAAGAATTATTTGGCCCAGAGAAAATAATAACCCTAGTTATAATTTAACCTATGAAGACAGCTCCATGTGTGTCTTCCACCTTCACTTATCAGTGTCTCTCTGTTTGCCTCTCCAGAGGCAGATGAGGAAAACACCTTCAAGAGCGGACCACGTTACACTGTGACTTTGATAAACAGTTCTGTAGAAATAAAAGGAGCTAGGGGAGAATACAAGTATGAGAACAGAGAGAATACAGACAGAAGGTGAGGATCTTGTTGATGTTGGCCAGGATTATTCTGCAAACTTGATTGTCTTTTTAAAAATTTACTATCAGTTCTACTGGATTGTTTTTAAAAACTTGAAGACAGAAGTGAAAAATACTTGTAAAGGAGGCAGGAAAGCACAATGGTTTGAGCTTAAATCCTAGTTACTTTGTGAGCAAATTACTTAACCTTTTTCTGTTTTTATTGTTTTGCTGCTGTGGGGATAAGAAGAGGTTTAATCTCAAAATTGCAAGTAAATAAGGTGACGTGTGTCAAGTACCTATTACAGTGCCTGGTATGTACAGTATTCAATAAATATTATTATTATCACTGCCATCATCACCATTGTTACTACCACCACTACCATTCTTCACAGGTTACCAGAACTGTGCCCCCGCCCCAAGTCACCCTGATTTCTTCTAATTTCCTCATTTGTTTCTCAACAAGCATAGTAACTTGTACCTGGTGTATTTAAAGCTGATGAGGGACCACTGGATATGGAAGACATTATCATTGACCACATTGGGCTTACTGTCTTTCACCAAAAACTGAAAACTGTCCATCAGCGCGTGGATCTTCTCCTCATGCAACACATAACGAATCAACCCCAAGTTCACATCCTCTGTGAGAAAAAAGACTCAATATGAATGCACTGGGAATTAACATGGAGATACAGAGACAGCCTCATAGATCCCCAAACCAACACATCTAGGTTCTTCTTCTCATGGGTCATGGGCAGACCTTATTTTTCCAAGAACAAAAGATGAAATAGTCTTAATTTAACATAATTTTTCCCTCAGATTTTAAATAAAGTTTAAATAAAAACAAAAGCCTTGTCTTTATGTACAGAAAGTACTCTTATTGCTGTTGGAAAGCAAGAATCTTAGGGTCTTGACTGAAAATACTTCATAAATAACTGTAGAATGTTGAAGGGCAAATTTAAGAGTTGGTAGAGAAGTCTTTGGCTGTGTGTAGCCTCACACTCAGTCCTAATTCCCTCAAGAAGGTTCTTTGGAAGGTACATGATAATGAGAAAAACTGGAAGTGGATTAAAACAACCCACACACAATGCACAAGTAAAAATGTGCTAGGAGAGCTGGGCACAGTGGCTCACGCCTGTAATCCTAGAGGCTTGGGGGCTGAGGCAGGAGGATCTCAAGTTCAAAGTCAGCCTCAGCAAAAGCAGAGCAACTCAGTGAGATCTTATCTCTAAATAAAATACAAAATAGGGGGCTGGGGTTGTGGCTCAGTGGTAGAGCACTCGCCTAGTACTGGGTTCGATCCTTAGCACTACATAAAAATAAATAAATAAAATAAAGTCCTTGTGCCCTTCTACAACTAAAGAAAAATATTTTTTAAAAATTCAAAATAAGGCTGGAGATATGGCTCAATGGTCGAGTGTCCCTGAATTCAATCCCTTGGTACCAAAAAATAAATAAATAAATAAAAGAAAGAAAAAAAGAAAGTGCTAGGAGAGAATACATGATTGAGGACTAGGAGGTAAAAAGAAATATGGAGCATAATATTTAAGAGACAGTGTGGCAATGACTGTTCCCAATTAGTCTCATCCTCAAAAGAGGACTAGAAGAAAGAAAAATGTAAAACAACCTGCTTTATGAAATCCAAACAGGAAACTGTTTCTGTTGAGCAACCTATACATATGGACTTTAATTTCTCAACTAAAAATTTGATTAAAAAAAAAATAACAACAGAAGCTAGTTGCGGTGGTGTGTGCCTCTAGTCCCAGTTATTCAGGAGGCCAAGGAGGGACAAATGCTTGAACACAGAGGTCTGAAACCAGCCTGGGCAACATAGTGAATCACCATCTCAAAACAAAAAATAAAAACAAAACAAACAAAAGCAACCACTATAGTTCTTAGAGCATAAAAAATAAGTCACACAGGACCACAGATCTCTCATAAACTCTGGTGATTGTTTGTTTTTAAAATAAACCAACAGTGACACCATATCCTTTCCAGAAAACCTGGCCAAAACCTAAAGGGAGGACTTGGTAAAGATGACTGACTGTTTGCCATAGTTTAAGAGGGGGAAAAAGGAGCAGTAAAGTTGACAAGGTGGATGCTAGACACTGAAAGATCTACTTGTTTGCAAAAAGGTTTCTTGGGCATTAGTAGCTGCAAGTGGCTATGAGAAAGAACAGGGGGGATACAGGGAGTGGCATTTGAAGATTTCCCATTTCTCAGTTCCCGGGGTCCCCACCCTGGGTGAAGGTGGAAGCAGCCCTGCCCGGCTGCAGCTTGTTCTCCACGTGGCCGTGCTTGGGGCCCGTTGTTATCTCATAGACAAGCTGGGAGTCCTCCGTGTCTGGGTCCATGGTCAGCAGTTCTTTCTTAGTGATCAGGTTGGTTGCCTGGAATAGAAACCCATTAAATTTAATTCCTGAAGTGGGAATTAAAGCAGGAAGGAGACCCTCTGACTCAGATTTAATTCAGTTCAACAGTGATTTACTGAGCGCATTTACCACCTGGAAAATTCTGTCAGGACAGAGGATGCTATGAGGATAGAATCTCTCCCAGCCTCTGTCCTCGAGGTATTCACTTTATTGGGAAAGAGAGGCTCAGGAGCAAGGTCAATATGGCAAGAGCTATAATGGAGATTAAAAAAAAGAATGCTATAGACTTTTTGGGAGAGGGAGAGATTAATTCCACTGAAAGTGAGCAGAGAGGGATTTGAGGCAGTGAGATTTGAGTTTGGATTTGAAAAGAAGTTGGATCTTTAAAAGAACCAAGAGAAGATGGCTATTTTAAATCTTATAGGAACCAAATGCATTGTTTGAAATTGAATAGGATAAATGCACCAGACCCTCCCCACGGACCCCCGAAACATTACCCAATATACTGGCTAAACTTTACTCATTTATTCAACAAATATTTAGTGAGAGCAAATATCTGAGGAAAGAAAGAGGGTAACCAACAGTATTAAATATCAGTAAGTTCAGTAAGATAAGGGCAGATAATTGGCTTTTGAATTTAGCAAAATAGAGGTCACTGGTGTAGGGTACAAGTGGATGGTGGAAACCAAACTGGTGAATGAGAGGAACAGAATCATTGTGAATATTGAGGGGGAAGAGTCAGATAGGGCATAAGAGGGATCTGCACTAATGCTGTTCATTTTTAGAAACTGAACCAGTTTAGTAGGAAGCTCCTGAGCAACAGTTACACCCAGGACAACTAATCAGCTCCATGGAGAGGAAAAACCAGCCGCAGCCTCGAGGGAATACCACCCACCCAAGTAAGAAATCAGTTCTGAACTAAGATGAAGAAACGCATATGTGTTTGGGTGCAGATGTGGATTTAGTGTGTAACATGTTACCAGGGGCAGATTGTGGCATATACCTTAAAATGACCAAGTTGAGAGAAAGAAATTTATGAAATAGAATTCCTCTGTTACAAAAAAACACCAACTTCTTTCTCATTTTTGGCAGGTATTAAGTTTTCCAAAGTCCACTCTCCCTCCGCAGTTAAGAAAGTTAGAACTGAGCACCCGCCTGCTAGGCTATGAAACGCACTGGGCCTTGTGGCCAATTTCTTGACACTAGAAAATGAGCACAAGTGACATGTCCAATTTCTGTATCACTTGCAGAATGATACAGAAAAGGATACCTAAAGGATGACGCTTAAAATGAAGTGCCTCGTCCTCGACTTCTCCCTCTTTTTCTTTTCCTCATACTGGAATGTGGATGAATTTGAGAAAAAAAATGTGGCTATGGAGTCAACAGCGACCCCCCAGTAATGGCAGAATAATAAGATGGAAGGAGTCCACATCTCTGACTGGGCAGACAGAACTCCAGACTGAACTCATATTTCCACCCTATATGTGAAAACAAGCAAAAGCTTCCACCTTGTTGATCTAGTACATTTCGGGGATGTTTTTGTATTAAACTGTACATAACCATTTCTTTTTCATATTCTGTCCATCATAATATATATTATTTATTTATTCATATTTACATATTTTACTTATACAGAATAACGGGGTTCATCATGACATAGTTACCCAGGCACATAACATACTTCAATCATACCCATCCCCCCTTACCCTCCATTCCATCCCTTCCCACCTCCTCCTGATCCCCTCCTCCTCTCTAATAGTGTCCCTGTTACTTTCACGTCATCTTTTCTCCCTAGATTCTACATTTGAAGTAAAACCTGTGATACTTGTCTTTCTGAGCAAGACTTATTTTGCTTAACATCATATATCCAGTTCCATCCATTTTTCTGCAAATAATATGATTTTATTCTTCTTTATAGCTGAATAATACTCCATTCTTAAACCACATTCAATTTCAACCAATCCTGCACCATCTTAGCTCATAAGGAATCCTAAACAAGTTCATGGAGCTTGCCAATCTTAGGAAAATCAGCTCGTTAAGGGAGTAAAAATCATGAGTTGAACTGGAGTAGATGGGACAGGCCTTACCTTGCCATCCATATACTCCAGCCACTGTAGTCCCAGGTTGGTGACTATCCTAGGAGTGCCATCATCCACTGGGAGGATGTCCACTCGGAACTGCTGAGGTGCTGCTGTCATGATCTGCAGGGGCAGAAAGGAAACTCAACATCCACAGATGTTCATGGTGCTGGGGGTGGACGAGGGCCTCCTACACACTAGGCATGCACTCCAGCTCTGGGCTACACCCCAGCCCCTGCGCCATCGCCATGTTTATTTGAAATCAACATTGTCCCAAGATAAAATAATACAGAGTATTTTCCTTCCAATGACCTTCTTAACACTTTCATCAGGCCTGACAAAAATGATCTTTAAAATGTTAATGTTGACATCTCCAGGTGGGATTAATTGTCAGACATGAAAAGAGGATTCCATGGGAAAACATTTTCTTTTTTTCCCTTTTCCTCTTCTAGGTTTTTGTTCTTGTTCTTGTTTGCTTGTTTGTTTTGAAGGAAAGTAATTCTCGGGGTAAGGGACAGGGAAAAAAATCAAGAATAAAAGCACTTATGGAAAGAGTAAACAGAAGTTTAGTTTACAGGTGCGTGCGCCTGCGCACGCGTGCACACATACACACACACACACACACACACAGGGCACCTTGCTGTCCCTGAGTGGCCACCTCGAACCTGAACAGCAGGATGCTGGCTTTTCAATTTCCTATAACAATTATTTCCTAAATAATTTTCCTTTTTAAAATGACCCTTGCAAGACCTGCTGTAGTCTTTTCTGTTTATAAGAGGGGCAGCCCTCTTACTGAGACATCTGAAATCTTTATTCTCTTTTGAAAGTCAAACTAACTGGGGAGCAGGGACAGTGGGAGAGAAGAAACACAGTGACAGCTGCCAGGTGGAGCTGCAGTGCAGGGAAATCCCAAGAGCCACCCACTGCACCGGTCAGCTGAGAATGACCTTCTGTTTGTCTGTGAAGGACACAGCAAAATCTTTCAGAAAAACAATGATCATCAGCAAGGGAGAGAAACTCTGCAGGACTGAGTGTAGATCCTCCCACTATCCTAGAGGTCCAGTAGGGAACAAGCAAGTTGCTCATTAAAACCGCTGAGTCAGATATAAAGGATTGGGGAAGAGGGACACCCCCAGCCCAGAAGGGCATTTATGGTACTGCAGGAGACCTGTTAAGGAATGAAGGAATGAGGAAATGGCAGGGAAGGTAGAGAAGGGAATCTTGAAGTTTCTTTTGGATACCTACGGGTCGGGAAGGATTCATTCTTTCAGGATGGAGAATTTGGCAATTGCATAATTGAAAGAGAAAAAAACCTCTTACTGATTACATAAGCTGGTCCTGAAATGATGGTGACAATGACGATTATGGCCACGGATTATCTAATGGTTCCCGTGTGCCAGGCATGGAACTAAGTGCTTTATGTGCACCAGGAGGGTAGGTATCACTCCCACTTTACAGAGAGGGAAGATGAGACTTAGAAAGGTTTAATGATTTACAGACTCATACAGCTTGTAAATGACAGAGCAGAACTGAAGTCAGTATCTTAAGAGCATGATTAAAAGTCATGCTCTTAACTGCTGTTATTTTTCAGACAGAGAATTTCTGGTTGGATTGAGGGTCTTAGTCCAAAAACAGAGAGAGAATCTAGAACCACAAGATATTATTGAAAAACCAGATGAAAGGAAAACTCAAGGAGTAAAGAGTGGGCAAAAAAGGAGAAATAACAGCATTAACAGCAATTATCATCTTTTATTAAATGTGCACTTTATGAGGATTACCTCCTTTGATCCTCAAACTATTTGAAGCTGGCAATTATTACTGTGCCTGTTTTACAGATGAAAAACCGAGGCTTGGAGAAAGAAGTTAAGTAATTTGCCCAAGGCCAGTATATTTCTGAGCTCACAGTCACAACTGCACGTTATGCCAGATAGAAAAATCCACATGCTGCCCCACCTCAGACTGTGTTTCCAGGTCTCTCCCTCTTTACCTTTACCCCTCACCTCTTTTCCTCCTTCCTCAATGATAAAGAAGGGGTTCTTCCCATCAGAAACAGTAAAGGAGAAGCGGTCTTTCAGGGAGTTGCTGCCATCATGGCTGTAGCTGATCCGGTTCTGGTAGATGTCTTCCATGGTGAACGTGGAGCTGAGGTGGAAATGCTGCCCCCTGGTGGTCCTCTCAATGGTGCCGTGGCGTGGTGGCTGCACAATGGTGAAGGTGACAGAGTCAGCCTGCCCAGGATGGAAGGGAAATTGACAAGAGAAAGCTGATGAGTGATTAGTGGCTAACAGGTGACCAAAGGTAATAGAACCTAAAGACGGTTATCAAATAGGGTTGCATTTTATAATAGATACCAAAAACAAAGTGAAAGAGAGAAACCATCTGTTTTACCCAATTGGTCTTATATTCTGGTGCCTTCAGTTATAAAGCTAAAATATTTAATTTCTTCTCTTCAGGTCATGGGGGGGGGAAGCCTAAATTTTTAACTGCTACCAGGATGACAGGAAACAGACCTTTTAAACCTTCCAGTTGCATCCCACCTATTTTCCTCGTTTTTCCCAAACTTTTATCTATAGAATCCCATATGCATCATAACAGAAGTGAATCTCTCATCTTTAATTGCTCATTCTAAAGGGACCTATAGAAGGAAAAAGAGATGCCTAAAACCTTGCTCAGGAGTTTTTAGCAACTTAGAGGCTTGACCTGAGCCAACAAGGCCCTCTGTGACCTGGTTCAAACTCCCTCCCTGGCCTTAGTCTTGCCTCCTGCCTGTTCCTGGGTTTCAGCCTCTTGGTCTCTTGTAACCTTTGCTGCAATTCTCAGGATATAAGGGCATTTGACTGCAGCACTTTTGCATTTTGGGCTCGTCTACCTGGAGAGTGAATTTCCCCAGGTAACTGCATAGCTTGCTCTTTCTCTTAATGATATCCCTGCTCAAATATGACCTCCTCGGAGAGGCCTTCCCTGACCACTCTAATAGCACAGCCATTAATCTCTATCTCCTTTACCTCACCTTTTATGTTTTTCTTCAAAACACTTATCATATCTGACAGGATCTATTCTTTTTTTACTATCTTTCCCCTCAACCAAAGGTTGCAAACTCCCGAAGCCTAGAACTTTATCTGTTTTGCTCACAGCTCTGCTGTTACCATCTAGAGCAGATCCTAGAGTCAAGACATAATAGATATTTGATCAAGAATGAATAAATGAATGAATGAGTGCACAGAGAAGGATACACATGATTCTGTATTATAGTCTTACTGTATTATAGTAAGTGTAATGTGTGCTTTCACACAAACTGAATTGTGTCCGAAGGTTATAATTATAAATATATTATAAATTATATTATAATTTATAATCATAAATAAAGGTTATAATTATTAAAATATTATAAATTATAAATATATATTATAAATATAAACTGGAAGCATCATGAGAACAAGGGCTTAGTCTCCATATGCCCTGTTGGGTGTATGAAGCCTAGTCTTTGAGGATGTTCAGATTGTGATACTCACTGCCATCAGAAAGGTTTGGATCAAGGGGCTGACATGGAGGCAAAGGTGCACAGGTGCAGAAAGTCCCTGTTCATTTTAATAGGGAACAATAAAAATACCAGGTAAAATGCCATCCACCTGATTTTCTATGAATCATAATAAAAAGCCAGCATGTTAAGAGGATTGCTACATGTAATCAGGGGAGAGGATGAATGTACTTAGGATTTCAGGAAGGGTTTAAAAATGGTTTGATCCTAAATGTATGAGTTCCCCTTTTCCAGAAAGCATGGCGTCCTCAGGGCCATGTTCCTGAGGTGCTTTCACCTCACCACTGAGCACCACCCTCAGGATGCAACAGCTACAGACCAAAGGTGGCCACCAGATCAGCCTCACTCAGCAAGAGCCTAGGGGAGCACTCTTACCTCTGTGTCTGCATCCACCGCCTTGAGCTCAAACTCCGTGATGGTCTTCCTCACGCCCTCTTGCACCCGCATCCCCCTGTTCTGTACCACAGGCAGCGAATCGTCCACAGGGTGAATAGTGATATGGAAAGTCTGAGACACCTGGGATGGCAGAAAAGTGCAGGTGGGATACCTGTCTCCAGCACTACCCCATAAGAAGGCAGGTGCTCCCTGAGTTCCCTTTCACACCATTCCTGGCATGCCTGACCAGCCAGGATCCCACAGGTGAGTACTCTTGGAAAGAGGCCAGGGGGCTGTCCGAGGGTGCCTCTATTTGTTGGCTGAGAGCAGAGGAAATGGATGCCCTCATATTACTAGTCTCTGCCGACTCCATTCAAAGACAGCAAGGAATCAATACCCACTCAAGGATGGAATCCAGAGCCTGGCTTACCTCATTGGTTCCATCAGACAGCACAAAGCTGAAGGCATCAGAATGCTTCTCCGTCTCACTAGAATGGACATATTGAACGTTTCGTGAAGTCAGGTCAGCCTGAGTAAAGGAACTAATCTGGATACCTGGTGAAAGGAAAAGAGAGAAACAGAAAGAATGTCAAAATGCTGCTAAGGCTAAGGAAAGGTCAGGCTCTCACAGGGAGAGAATGAGAGAAGTCCTTTGTATTTTTCCCTTAGCATTTATGTTCTGCCCTTGAAGACCTTGCATGAAGTGGTTTGTGATTTTTTTTTTCCCCCTACGGCAGCATATGTTCTGTGGGAGACATGTTAACTTTATTATCGCAGCTTCTGTGTGCCAAGCCAACAGCAGGTGTGCCGTAAATGTTACTCTCCTTTCTCCTGGGGTTTAAGTACGCAGGTAAAGTCTGTGAAAGGCAGAGCCATTGCCTTATTTTCCAAACGCCTCTCTCTTCAGTTTTACAGTCCCCTATGACCTCACAGTCCTTTCTGGAAATCTGACCTAATTTTTAATATTGTGCGAGGGGTTAGCTTTTGAACACTGCAGCTATAAGGCTTGGCTACACTTTGCCTTGCTTCTGTGATTGGTGAGCCATTCCTGGTCTCCATAATTTCACTAGATATCTTTCAAGGTCCCTTTCAACTCCCAGGACTATGATCCTAGCTTCTCATCGACAATTTTAGTCAGTCAGGCAGTAACAAAACTTTCTGCATGACTCTGGGCCTTGAATAATCATTCTATATCAAAGTGAAAATAGTCTAGAAAAAATAGTATCCTTTATTAACATGATATAGAAAACATCATGCAATTTTTTTTGGTGGCATCATTTAAAAAAAAAAAACTAAAACAATTTGAAATAATGAAAAGGTATTCCACTAACATATACCATCTGTTTTTGAACACCTAACAACATTTAGTAAATGAGCACAGAATCCTTGCTTCCATCTTGGGGGACACGACACACACTCTGTACCAGTTCTGATAGAAACAAAACATGTATTTTTTAGTCCCTTAGCATAATTTCTCTCTTTCTGATCCTGGGTATTGGAAAATTAATCCATTTAATCAAGTCTTTAGTTTAGCCCTGAAATTCATTTGCTGCTCCCTGAGATTTATTATTTTTCATTATTAAGCCTGGCAAAACCGGTCTGGCTTTTCTATGAAAAAACAGAGACTCTATTTGACTCTTATAAAGTTAAGTGTGACAAGCAGTATCTCTGCTTCACCTTAAAAAAAAAAAAAACTCAAACCACACAGCTTACATTTGCATCTCTCTTTATCATCTGAAATTTGTCACCCAATACAATAGCCTTCTGAATATTAGGGCATTAATTTTCTGATGAGGCATTTTATATTTCTGTGCTTGCTATATCAGTTCTTGACAGGCAAGAAATGCAGCCCACTGTCTTATAGCTTTGTTTTGTGACTCTGGACAGAAATCCATACCATTTTTTAAAAATTTAATAACTTCAGAGTGACTGCACTGAGAAATTTAAATATCTTCCCTCTGCTGTGAAACCATCCTCACAGTTCATGAGAAAATATTTATCTGGATTCTCACAATCAACTGGTCACCTATTCACTGTTCCCTTTATGAGAGTCCAAGACCAATTACAACGCTAAGTTTTTGCTTTTCTCTTGGGAAGAAAGCTCTGCGATCAATTCTTTTATATTTATTTATTTTAAAGACATTTTTTTATTGAAGTAAAATTGACTGCAGTAAATTACACACATTTAGAGTGCACAATTTCATAAGCTTTGGCATTTCTGTGAAACCACTACCTCAATCAAAAGAGTGAATGTATCCATTGCTCCCCAAGTTTCCAAGTGACACTTTGTAATCCTTCCACCCTTCCATTCTCCATCCCCAGTCCCATCCAAAAGCACTCAATGAATTGTTTCTGTCATGATAGATTCATTTGCATTTTCTCAACATTTTAATAGATAGAATCATATAGTATGTACTATTTTGGATCTGCTTTCTCTCTCTTAGCATTATTATTTTGAGATCCAACAGGTATTAATAGTTTATACTCTTTGCTATTGTTGAGTAGTATTCCACTGTGAGGATGTATCATAATTTGTTTATTCATTCACCTGTTGATGGGTATTTGGTTTTTTTATTTTTTATTTTTTCTAGTTTGGGGATATTGTATATAAAGCTGCTATGGTTATTTGTGTACAGTCTATGTATGGACCCAAGGTTTTGCTCTTGGGTAAATCTCTAGAAATGGACTGGCTGGAATATATGCTTCATTTAATTTATTTAACTTAATTAAGTACATGCTTAATTTTTTAGGAAATTGGTAAGTTGTTCTTCCCCAGTGGTAGAGCCATTTTACATTTTCGCTAGTAGTTTGTGAGAGCCCTAGGCTTGGTCTTAGTGAGAATTTCCCAGTTCAAAGGCATTTTAGTGGGATTTTCCCAATTTAGTCAAGCACCCACCATAGACGGAACACTATTTCACACTTGCTTATATATGTTGAATTTTATCTGTTAACAACTCTGGGAGGCTGAGTTAGGCATATTACTCCTATTTTTATAGATTATAACAGTAAATATAATTAAAGAGTTATGTGCCCTACTCAAGGTCACATGGCTAATAAGAGAGCAACCCTAGGTTTGAAACACAGGCAGTCTAATGCCAAAGCCTATGTCTGCTGAGAGTGCTCTCTCTAAGAGCCATCCAGACAGGAGCTTCTTGGCTTTACCCTTTTTCTTTAGCTCTCTTTCAATATAGAAGTAATACATGCCTATTAAAGAAAACGTGAAAAACACAGAAAAGTAGGAAAGAAATACACCTATCACTGAAACATCACCATTATATATATATGAATCATTCCTTCTAAAATACTTTATTGACTTCAGCCTCTTTCTTGTCTGAAATACTGATTTGGACGGAGTTTAAAATTATTTAAATGATAACCATATTTACATGCCAGAGGGAAACAAGCTGATGTCGCATGCAGGCTTCAAGGGGGCAAGGATTCTTCTTGCTTCTCCACTGATGTTCTCCTATAGCGGTGCCTGCCACATGTCAGGTGCTCAAACCATCTCTGGTGAATATATTTAGTACCTCTGCTATACTCTGTCTTTAGGAGGTTCTACTGAGCACAGATTTTCAATCCCTATACACTTTTATTTTTTAAATTTTAGCCTTTGCTAATTGGGTATTGGAAGATGTCAGCTACTCACTTGCCAGCCAGCTGGTGTTTTGAATAACGTATTTCCCTCCTGGCTGTCACAGCAAGTAGTTGTTTGAAATACTTGAAGGCTTTTAATCCCATTGAAGGTGTTTTCGGTCACCAACCTGCTGGCTAAACTATATATCTGGCAGTATTACTGAGACCCACATTAACCCTGTCAGTTTTTCCAATTCCCCTGGAAGGCCTACATGTTAGAGAAGGCTCAGTCCAGGTCAGGGAAGTGGTGCGGGAATAAAGCATCTCCAGAGAAATTGCCTTCTTAACACGATGTCACGTGATGCCCCAGTCGCCTGCGTTCAGCACAGCCGCGGGTGACTCTGCATTTGCTGCCTGTGTCGTGTCTTTGTTCATGTTGTGGGAGACCCTCTTCTTTCCTGCTTCAGATTTTCTCTGAAGCCTCTTGTTATGGGTTGAATTGCAATTGCACCTTCTTCTTATCCCAAATTCATATGCTGAAGTCCCAACCCCCAGTGCCTCAGAATGTGGGGTCATTGTAGATTTCATCAGATAAAATCAAGTCATGAGGGTGGTCCCTGATTCAATATGGATGTCACTATTAGAATGGGAAATATGGATACAGATCCTTATGGGGAGCGTACCACGTGAGCATGAAGATGTCCACCTACGTGACAAGGAGAGATACCTGGAACACACACTTCCTTCATAGCCCTCACCACCAACCAACCCCACCTATACCTTGATCTCCAACTTTTGGCCTCCAAAACTGTGAGAAAATAACTTTTGTGGTTTAAGCTGTGCAGTTTAGCACATTTTTAAAAAACAGCATCCCTAGCTACCCATGCACCTCTCCTCTCAGGGAAAGCCCAAACTAACAACAGGTGCATCCTATTTTGGTTGGTGTCACAACACCTAAAGAAGGTGGAAAAAGAGCACACCTTTGGTAAAGCATCACCTCTGAGAAGTCTTTCCTGACAACTCCCACCCTCTCCAAGGGGGGAGATTTCCATGGTCCTCTGTCATGTTGTTGTCACAGCTACTGAGACACATTTGCACATATTTGTTTACATGTCTCTTACTTCCAAAACATAGTTTGCTTTTTTTTTATTTTAGTAGCTACTCAATGAATGCTTGTTGAAGGGAGGAAGAGAGGGAATAAACTGTATTAATCAGCTTTTTGTCACTATGACTAAAATACTAGACATAAACAACATAAAGGAAGAAAGACTTGTTTTGGCTCAGGGGTTCAGAGTTTCAGCACATGGCCAGCACCAGCTATATTGCTTAGGTCCTAAAGTGAGGCAGTACATAATGGTGGAAGGGCATGGTGGAGGAAAGCTGCTCTGCTCATGGCAGCCAGGAAACAGAGAAACTGGGGATAGGGCAAGGGTGGAAGGAGAGGCTGAGGATAAGAAATGTCCTTTTAGGGCATGTTCCCGATGACCTACTTCCTCCAACCATGTCTCACCACCTAGTTTCCATCACTTCCCAGTAGTCCATTCAGCTATCGATGGGTTAATCCATTGACGAGGTCAGAGTCTTTACGATCCAAGCACTTTCCAAAAGCTCCACCTCTGACCATTGCTGCATTGGGGACTAAGCTTTTAACACATGAGGCTTTGGGGGGACTCTTCAGATCCAAACCATGAAAAAAGCCTCTTCTAATATGATAGAGTATCGTGCATATAATTACATCTCAGCCTGGAATCAGAATCTCCTGGGGATGTGCTGTGGTTTGCATATAGTGTGAGTGTGTCCCCCAAATGTTTTGTGTGATGGAAACTTGGTCCCAATGTGGTGGTATTAACAAGTGGTGGAAACTTTGAGAGGTGGGACCAACTAGGAGGTCACTAGGTCATTGGAGGTACTATCTGGATGAATGAGAGGGCACTGTATGAGAGAGTTCCTGTAAAAATAGCAAGACAGGCCAAACCATTCTG